GCATTACAGACAGGTGGAGACAGATGATTGGCTCTGGCAACCCCCTTAAAGGGAGCAGCTGAAAAAAGGTTTGGGCTGATTTTTTTTTTTTTTTTTTTAGCCCTGATTAGTGACAGCAGGCCCTGCTAGCCTGCTGGGGGGGGTGTCGCACTGAGTTTATTTAACCTCCCCCGGATGAGCGGCTGTAAGCTTTGATTTCTCGGACCTGGTGCAGCAGGTTGTGGGAGCGAATCTCCAGTGCCTGGATCTTTGCCAACAGCTTCATGTCCTCTACCTCGTAGTCTGGGATGATCTTAAAGCCGTACTCATCATGATCCCTGAGGACACAGCAGATGTTTAACACATTCATCAGGTCTGGAGTAAACAGTGAAAAATTTGATCTATTTAGAGTTTCTTCTTCTGAGTTTTTAATTGTCATGTCAAGTGACTCTTGAATGAGAAAGAAGCAGGTTGTGTCTGTTATTTTGTCTACCCTGCTGTTCAGGTGCTCGTACCTGTGCACACTGATCTTCGTGACTCTCTTCAGCTCTCCCTTCAGAGCGTCCTCGATCATTTTCTGCACGGCCTCCCGCTGGGCCGGATGCAGAGATTTGATCTCCTGCAGTCTCCGCAGGACTCCCAGGTAACGGCTCTCCACCTGACAGTTAGTGGCCTCCAGGAAAGCACACTGCAGCCAATCAGAGGGCAGGAAAAGGCATTAATCACTGTGCTGTAGGCTGTGGGCTGTAGCTGGCCCATAGCAGCTCTGTGTGGTGGTGGAGTGTTTAAATGAACAGAAATGGCATCAGACCGACCTTCACCATCAGGGCTTTCTCCTGCTCTGAGCTTTTCCTCCACAGTTTGGTCAGCTGGTAGATCTCAGAGTTCAGAAACTTGTTCTGAGTCTTATATGCCTCGATGTCATCCTGCAGACACAAACACAGACAACCTGGGAGGTTTAAGAGGTTTTAGACTCAGTAACGTAATATCGGCTGTTTCTTTACTGTTGATAGCTTCAGCTCATTTTGGAAGGTTTTTAAACTTTCTTTAAAACACAATCACTTACACTCTGTACCTTCAAGTAAAACTGTAATTCGCTGTAAGTTATCACTGTGCTTCACCTTGAGGTTGTTGTTCTCCTGCCGAAGCTGTCTGAGAGTCTGAGAGTTGATGCGGCCGGCAGAGGACGAGTCGGGGCGCCGCGGTTCTGACAGACACGCTGTCACCTGATCGGACAGCTTTATGATCACCTGACAGGAAACAGTCGCACAGTGAGTACAGCTGCAGATAGACTTCATGTTTTACTGTCACACAAAGCTCACAGGAAGCAAGAAAAAGTAAATGAGTACATTTACTCAAGTAGAAGTGCTTGTAACTCTAAGCACTTTCTATTTGTCTGCCAGCTGCAGGCGGTGATTCAACAACACAAAACTAGAATAAAGAATCGTTCAGCTTCATTTCAGCCGTTCTCATGTTGCGTGGGTGCGTCCTGTTTTGGTTCAGGCAGGAAGAAGAAGCTGAGTCACAGAGCCAGTTACTGCCTAGATACGATACGTGACCACTGGGTGGAGCAGTTGATTGAGCTATATGGTCATAATGCACGCCACACATAAAACAGAATTAAAATGAAACCCTGACAGAGTCAAATATGCAGCCCGGAGGCCGGATTAGGCCCACCAAAGGTCCCAGTGCAGTCTTGGGTGGCTTTGAATGAAGTGAAAATTTAAAAGTTCAGATATCTGGAAAATAAAATCATCTCCTACTCGCGGTGTGAGAAAGCCAGCACAGGAGCAGAAGACTGCTCCTGTGCTTGAATGATAACGAAATGCTATTTAAACCTGCGACAGCAGAAAACTGAGTGAAGTTGTATGTTTTAGACTTCGTAAGCAGCTCGCAGCATATTAAACATGAACCTTTTCAGAATGTGTTTGGACTTAAAAAGGCATAATTTCTTTCTAAATATTTGTCTTGGATTCAGAAATCTGCAGTAAACTAATTTCACGAATTTGAGATCAAACTGCAGTGTATGTGGCACTCAAACTGACACAGCTGATCATTTTAAATAACTGAAACAACTCATGATTATGAAGGACGAGCTACCTAAAGAACCCTACTCTCAGCACGTGTTTTTTTATTTTTTATTTTTATTTTTTTATCGTCAGTCATAACTCCTGCAGCCTCCTCTCTCCTCCTGATGAATTCTAGGAATTGAGATGTTTCAGTGTGGCGTACAACAATTCAAATCCAGGTCAAAGGTAGGCGGACGGTCCAAATAAGGAGGCACAAACTTGAAGAATCAGAAAATATAAAAAAAAAAAAAACACCTCCTGAAGAGACCTAAGTAACATCACAGAACACCAACCTGCCAACCGCTCTTTAAAAGTGAAGACACGGAGCTCGCTCAATGAGCATTTTGCTCTGTGATCTTCCTTAAACGTTCCCCTTTTTTGTTCTTTTGGCTACAATTCTCAGTTTTCCAACGAATCACATGGCACATCCATCATCTGGGCTGGTCATTTAGGTGAAGCGTTGAATGCACAGGAGAGGCCCTCTGTCTGATATAATCAACATCCACCCACATTCGGTTTGTTTTGTGCTTTTTTTTTTTTTTTTCCTGAGCCAGCAGCAGCTCCAGGAACAGCTCCAGATCTCAGAGAAACTTTCAGTCATGGAAACAAACGTGCACAGGTTATTTTAACGTGACCAACCAGAGGTCAGTCTGACAGCAACCTCTGGTTTGTCCTCACCTCCTGTTTGGCGTTGTTCTTCTCCTTCAGCATCCTGTTGTTGTGCTGCAGCTCGGCGACCTGCGTGGCCTTCTCAGCCAGACTCTTCTTCACCACCTCCACCTCCATCTTGGCCTCGTCGAGCCGCCCCCGGAGGTCGGCCGCCTGCCGCTCGCGGTGTCGGAGCAGCTCCAGACGTTCCTGCTCATCCTCCTCTGCCAAAAACTCGGCACAGGTTCGCTTCTCCAGCTGAGAAGCCTCCAGCGCTTTGTGGAGGATCCACACCAGCTCCTGCAGGAGGCGCTGTGTTTGTCACTTTTTTCAGTGGCAGCAGAGATAAATAAAACTTTATGATTACTGAATGACTGATCACCTTCTGAGCTTTGACCTCCTCCATCAGCATCTCTTTCTCCTGCTGCAAGCGGCCTATCCGGTCTGAGGACTGAGACGCCATGTCTCTGCGGCGGACAGGCAAGGTGGACGCGCTGCGAGCCTTCACCCTGCGGCTGCAACTCTCAAACAGTGATGGTGACTCCCTGCCATCTGTAGGGGGCGCCTGATCAGCGGCATTGAGCAATGGTAGGGGAGGGGAGAGGCTCGGGGATTCAGAGGGAGTGCTGAGGGTTGGAGAAGCTGAGAAGTGACAGAGAAGGATTAAAAGAAGTCACACGCCTGGATGCTGAAGCGGGTAAACTTCTTCACAAATAAAATTTTTATCATTAGAGAAAAAATTACCAATAATCATCCTACAGATGTAATATTATCTACAGCTACTTTTAGTACCATTGATGTTAAGTTAGACTCTTTTTCTCCAATTGATCTTTCTGAGTTAACTTCAATAATTACTTCCTCCAAACCATCAA